AACCTTTATGAGAAATCTTTATTAAACATAACTCGGATGGGAAACACATGCTCCTCCCCACCCGGGCGCTGGGACCCTCAGAAAGGACTCTGCAGTCTCCATGGAGGCAACAGAGCCAGGCGCAGGGTCTGGGTGCCCTCGGACTGTACACTCGGCAGTCACTGCTGCTTCTGAGCTTTCAGCAGGGAAATGTATTTCTTCGCCCACTTCTCCCTCAGCTGCACGCAGACCTTCTTGCCTCTCTTGGTGGTGAATCTGCAGAAGAGCGACACAGAGGAGTGAATGCAAGGCCTCTGGCTTTCTGGGAAGAGGTAGAGGAGAAGATGGGGCGGCTCCCAGATGCACCTGCTCAGCCCCACACACCTCTGTTCCTGTCCCCTCTTCTCCTCTCCTTGCCTTTCCCGCCACTGTTTCTCTGGAAACCATGATGCCACAGCCCGCCGGCGCCCTCCCAGCAGCTCGGATGCGCAGCCTGGACCCGGGCGGTGGCAGGTAATGCTTTCATGTTAATGGCTCAGCTTTCTCGAGGCTCGGCGCACGCATGTATCGTCCACCCGCTTCAGGTGAGTAATGACAGTGCGGTGGCTTTTACTATATTCATCGATTCTGTAGCCACTACTACCAAGATCAGTTCTGGGATATCTCATCACCCCAGCAAGGCGCCCCTGCCACCAGCCGCTGGATTCGCAACCACATTATCAAGGGTTGCTCTTCAAAAGTGGTTGCTATGTGACTCCTGTGTTCCTTACCCGGCTGCGAGCTGTTGAAAAGTGGGCACCCTCCTCGTTAAAGCATGTGAGCCTCCAGCTTCAGCACCCCGAGGGCACTCAGAAGTGACCAGAGCCAAGCCAGGGGCCACGTGGTATCCACAGGGCTCTCAGGCTGGCTGTGGCCTGCGTAGGAGAAAGGAACCAAAAGAGTAGGAAGGCAAGGGAAGACAGCCTTGTGGCAGCTGCAAGGCATGATGGTAAATTTCTTTGCCATTGCCCCCACTGGTGGGGTAGAGAACTATGTGGTATCGAAATACACAATGAGTTTTACATTGCAAAAATGTATTACAGTGAAAGACACATAATGATTCTCCTCACACTACTCCTGGCTTTGGACACACTGATTCTCTCTCTCTCTCTCTCTCTCTCTCTCTCTCTCTCTCTCTCTCTCTCCCTCTCCCTCTCCCTCTCCCTCTTTCCCTCCCTCCCTCCCCTTCTCTCT